CTCTTTTTTGAGTATCATTTTGTTTAAGCATTTAGAACAATGAAAATCTGATTTGTTATTGTGCTATATTCTCTCATAGATTGAGTGGCTCATTTGTCACTAAAATGGAGTAAAACACTTGTGCTATAATTCGAATATAGACTGATTACAGATTTTGTCAGGAAAAAAACACTCATGAATATGAATTATTAATATTTCCATGAATAATTAATAAGCACTTCATAATAATGAGTATAAGTTACAAGTGAGGATAATAACCAAAATAATTTGCCCCATTTAAGAGCCTTTGGGCATGAATGCCGATGCTTTAGCGGTTAATAAATAAATAACATTTTGTTTTGAAAGGAATTATGGTTAGCCTCTTTTTTATTTTTGTTAAAAAAACATGTAAGTAGATTCTAAATGTGGAGTGGATTATTAAAACCGTTGGAGATAAAAGCATCAGTATTTACGTTGTTCTTTCCTTTCACAGCCGGTTATCTAATGCCTCAGGGTCAGAAGTCTTCAGAATTCTATACAGTTCAAAACTATTACCTTAATCAGAATAATATTCTCATCTGACAACTGAAATCATTTTCAAGAAGACACCGACTCACACTATTATAAATGTATTCTTACCAAGGTGGGCTAATAACACACTCAGAACAATAAAATCTGTGCTACTGTCAATTCATAAGGTATAAATGAATTTGACCCCGTCTCATCAGCATTGGTTTTCCTTGAAAAATCTCTGTTTTTGCACGGTTAGTGTAATGAATGTTTGAATAGACTGCGGACTGTGGAGTCAGGGCCATGTTGAAGAAAAACAACAACCCCCCTCCAAAAAAAAAAAAAATCTTTGAGGAGAAGAGAAAAGCAATGAATATTTTACAGTGGGAGTGCAACGGAGGGCTCGGCGGGTGACTCAGAGACATTTATGGAGCTTATCAAACCCAGATCTCCCACAGAGGTCTGCATACAGACCACAGACTGTGGCAGCTGTTTATCAGGTGAACTATTGGTGAGTTCCCGATCCAGTAGTGGTTTGATTTACCTCAATCGGAGGGAAATTATTCCTGTAACGAAGGAGAGATAAAAGATTGTCCTTCTGAAAATAAGAATGTTCTCATGAGATCACACGTCATTCGGCGCATGCGTTTGCCGGTGTGTACTTTCATTGAGCTGACTCAGTGTGTGTGTGTCTGTGTGTGCTCACTCTGGTGTGGGCTGATGTATTAAAATATTCATATTTTCAGAGGAATATGTCATTTCTGAAAAGGACACATATAATGCGATGTTGGAAAACCAAAAAGATGAACCTGCCATTTGATGTCCAGATTTTTTTTTATTATTCTTTATGCAGCATGCATATATAATGGGGGCAATAAATGTCAAATTATAATTAAGATTGCTTGTGTTTTCTCTGTGAAATTAAAGGGATAATTCACTCTCAAATGTAAATTATGTCATTATTTACTCACCTTCGTGTCATTTTAGACCTATATGGACTTTCTTACTTACATGGAACACAAAAGGAAAAGTTTTCAAGAAGGTTCAGGATGCTTTTTTAAATTGATTTGCTTACCTTTTCTGGTGAAGATATGCTTTTGTTGTATGGAAAAGAGCAGCATCAACATTCTTCGAAATATTTCCTTTTGTGTTCCACTGGAAAAAAGTTGTTTGGAATCATTAAATTACTGTAAGCTAGAGTTTTCATTTGGGAGATAACTGTGCCTTTAAAGTCATTCTGTTTGCAACTATTACAGTACTTGAAGGAACTATTCGTTTACAAAACAAAAGATGGTCAAACAAGAGTAGACATAGGTATTTAGTCCTGTATAAAAATGCAGTGTAAGAGACAGTGTATTGGGGCTTTGGCTTGCATTGTAGCAGGCTATCACCTGCTGTTAGCATTCCATTGACTCCCATTCATTTTGGCGTCACTTTGACAGTGAATAACTTTACATCTAAGGTGTCCAAAGACTTCATTTGTCCATTATTTATTTCTAAAGAAACATGACAATGTATAAAAAAGTCTCCATTACTTTGTATCTTACGTTATGGCCCTGTAGAAACCGCTTTTGTAAAAATAGGCTAGTGATTGCGTCATACAAATTTCCGTATAGACAGAAGGAGAAGCTCACAGGCAATATTTTACTGTCTATGAAGCAATCGGGACGTGAAGGCACAAAGTCAAGGTAGAATCCCATAAATAGAGTCCATAAAAGCAAAGGGACAAAATATTTCAACAAACGATTTGTTTCAGATTTCAATTAAGATTTGTCTTGCCACAGCTACTAGAAGTCGTACAACTGTGAGACAGGTTGATCACATCACTTCTACATCGTCAAGCTCAGTTTGAGCCTGCGCAGTTTGCTCAGCCATCAGGAAGTGAGTGCTTCTAATGGGCTTCAATTTGCTCCGTTGAAATCTATGGGGTCGCTGTGTTCATTTATTTTACTGTCTATGGATTTGTTTTACAATAGTTCAACAAGAAGGGTCACCCAACATGCACTTTTAATGACAGAATTTTCATTTTTGGGTGAACTATCCCTTTAAGGATTTTTTTCCATCATCCACTGATAGATTCAAATAGGTGGTATCTTAATCTGGGCACCTTTTTTTATTTTATTATTATTAATCATAAAGGCTGTATCCTGAAACAGAGCATGTGAATCTAAAGGTTTTCTGTGAATTTAAAGGACATTTTACATAACAGGCAATGACATCTTCATATGACTAAGGCAAAAGAAAAACATTTTAGGTGTGTAGTCATGAAAATTACAATAATAAGACTTAAGAATAAAAGCTTTTCAGTGAGTGAGCACCATGACATTAAAGATAATGACTCCAGAACTAAATGAAACCTTTATATCAAAAGACACCTGCACGTTTCTGTTGGACCTGGCAAGAAAACTGACAAAGTATTTAGCGATCATGGCCATAATTGCTGGGAACATTTATGACTAATATAAGTTATAATGGCAAGAATATAATTTGCATCCAATGTTCATAATGTGCCCTATTCATGTTCTGTGTATTGGAATAGGATTAACCGTGATGAAAATGCATTATGTCGGCACTGCAGAGGGCTTTGATTGGTCTTACATAAGTTATTTGAAAAGCCAGTCATATTCAGGACTTAGAGTTAGAGACTGTTCAATTATCAAAGACCAACAAACCATTTTCTTCTCCAAAACTATTAGGACTAGTGAACCTGAAAAAGAAATGCCAACTATGTCTTCATTGCAACTTCCACTATAGTTCATCTGCTAGCATAGAGTGCTAAGAACACCATGGGTTTGATTTCATGGAACACACATAACGGACACACTTATACCTTGTTTGTTACTCTGCCCTTTTAAAAGAAAAAAAATTACATTTAAAGCACTAACCTCTTCGATGATGGTTGTCAAGATGCCAGGTTCATCACTTCTACTCTAAAGTCATTTAAAAAAAAAAAAAAAAGCACTCCTTCAGTGAGAATGACATATACACAGAGAAGGGTCCAAGGTGGCAGATATTTCACATAACTCCATACTGGTCAACTAGTTACAATCTATTATAATGTGGTGAAACAGTTTTAAGAGCAGAGGTGTCATTTCTTTGTTTGTTTTTTTTTCTCAAAGCTGCACTACAAAACATTGGCCTCTCTATCGCCATCAGTGGTGGAAAGAAAGTTGCAGTTACTAAAAGAGTTACTGGGTGTATTCGACTTGAAGCAGCGCTGTGCAGTCCGACCGATGTATGATATCAAAGTGACGCGAAAGCATAACCATCTGCTCTCTAATCCCTCTCACAGTACAGTGAAGTTATACTCTGACCAGTCCGTGCAGCCCGCATCAAGAACACACCTATCTTTTTATCTTAGTTGAGTCAACACTGCTCTTCTGCGTAAATTAATCTGATGGTTTGAAGTTGCATGGTTACATGTGATAACCATATCTTAATAGCGACACCACAATTTACTAATAGTAAAAAGAAAGTCAAACAAGATGAAAATATATGTAATTTGAGCAAGTAACATGTCTGCGGCACAACAGAAGCCTGACCATCTTAGCTTGGTTTACTGACATGACGTAAATTGAAGCACGAATGACGTAAACACAAAATATCCACAAAAACCTGTCCACTCAAAAAATAATTAATTTTGAATGAATTACCTCCAGTTCCTAAAATCATTTTGAACAAATTGCTAAACTAATAGAAAGTTCTGTCATGATACTCTAGATGATGCAGGCTAGGTTAACAGTCTCATCCCAAGACGTCATACAACTGACGCTTTTGACCATACGTCAACATCTGCCGTTTTAGGGTACCCTTTAACGTCGGTTAGATGACGATCCTGGGGCGTCATCCAACTGATGCTTTACCTTTATGTCAGTTAGGTGACGGGGTAGGTTTAGGTCTGGGGTAGGGTTAGGGGTTAGGATTAGATAACATCATTTAACCGACGTTTAAAGGTACCCTAAAACGGCGGATGTTGACGTATGTTCAAAAGCGTCAGTTGTATGAAGTCTTGGGATGAGACTGCGCTGGCTAGGTCCTTAACTCAATCTGCTTGCAGTCACTACATTCTCTATAGGTCACAGCTGATTGGTTCTTGCTGTATTAGTAGCCAATGAGCTCAAGTGCTCAACCTTCAAATACTTGGTTAACATTTGCCTTAGCTGTGCAGAGCGCTTTAAGAAACCCTCCACCTTCCCCAGCTCCACCTGGCTTTATAGATATGCTACGGGTAATTTGGACACTAGATTGTACAGCAACAGTCATAACTTATGTCTTACTTGCCTCCAGCTGCGTGTTGTGTGTATGTATTGGCAGTAGAAAGTCCCTTTCTTGCTCTGCACGAGCAGCTGTGTAGCACATCTATTCTGCCAAGACCAAATATATCAACATTGTCATTCGCATTACCATGCCAACACTCAGAGAGTCATTATGACATAACTATAATTCACCATGGCTTAGTGAATTGGGGTAAGGCAAGAACCCAATTCTGAAAAGTGTGGGGTTTTTTTTAATTATTTATTTTTTATGACTTTTTTTAAAGTCAAGAACTGTGCTGATAAACCTCAAACAAAGGATCATATGACAATGAGAACAGAAATATAGATTACAGACAAATGTAAAGTGTAGCAAAGTCTTTATGGGTGAAGTATTTTCCTCTACGTACAATATTTATTTTAACACAATGAGTTAATCTTGTCAGACAAAGAGAAAGAGATGTGAAAAGACCAGAAATAAGCAGTCTGGAAAAATCTAACACAGTCTCATCCCAAAAAGTCATATAACTGACGTTTTGGGACGTATTTTGACCATACGTCAATATCAGCCTTTTTAGGGCCCCCTTAAACGTCGGTAGATGGCGATCCCGGGCCGTCATACAACTGACGCTTTACCTTTAACGTCAGTTAGGTGACGGGTTAGGTTTAGGGTTAGGTTTAGGTATGGGGTAGAGTTAGGATCCCATAACCTCATCTACCGACGTTTAAGGGGGCCCTAAAAAGGCGAATATTGACGTATGGTCAAAAGACGTCCCAAAACGTCAGTTATATGACGTCTTGGGGTGAGACCGGGTTGAAAAATCACACAGTAGTTTCAATATTTTCAATAATCTCCACAATGGATTTGGAAGGGGACAGTAGGGTGCATTCATCCTGGTCCCATAGACTTCCCGGACTAGAGTGTCCATCCATGCTAAGTTCGTCCTCTTCCTCAGACTCTTCCTCATAGGACTCCAGATAGTGACCTCCCAAAGCATTGATTCCCGAGTCCTCAGAGCTGGAGGGCGAAGAGCAGTGGCCCATTTTTGGTCCTTTAACGGTCTCCTCAATTGTCTGCTTGTCTTCAGTGTGCTGTTTCTGTGCTACCTGACAAGCAGGGTTTATCTGAGGTGGGCTAAGAGGAGCCTCGGTGTGAACTGGGGGCCGCTGAATGTAGCACATCTTGCCGTTGATGCGTTTGACAATGTAGTCGTCGATAAACAGTTCGGCAATGTTGCAGTACTTCGGGGACTCGGGACAAGGAGGTGGCAGGAAACAGGGGGAGATGCGGAGGAAGCGTTCAGTCAGAGAGATGGTCAGATCAATGGTGTTGGTACAGTCAGATGGAGTGACCGGCACAGGTGTGCTTGGTAGCTGAGCCACATTGGTCATGGGCTGGTAGACATATTTACCTGTACAGACAGAGTAAAAGGAGATCATTACCTACATATCTATCAGAAAGCACATACTAATTTGTGTACTATAATTGAATTACCTTAACAAGGCTGAAGCAAGCAGTAAATTCAGACTATAATATTTAGCTAGCAAAAGTTGAAGGAGATATGCACTGCATTAAAACTCACAGGATGCTTCATTATGTATAATCTCTTGCAGTGCACTGCAGTATTAATGCCAGCAGCCTCTGATCTGAAAGTCATCATCATTTACAAATGAATCTATTTTTGTTTTCATTAAAGCATATACATCAATATCTCACATGGAGAGTAACCAAAAACCTGTGGCGTCGATCTACATGCTAATGAAAACTGCTGCCACACACCAGTTTAGTTCATCTTTGGACTTGCTGTCAGAAAAAAAAGAGATCAAAATCTAAAATAGTCAAGTGTAATTCATTGAAACATATTTCATTATATAATAATAAATTTAATAAAAACATGTGCACATATGATGAGAGATAAAAAAAGTATTATCCAAATAGACGATCATGCTGTAATCCACTGAGGTTGTATTACAGTGCAGCAACATACTTTCACAGAACGAATTAATGCTTATTCTACACACTGTAGGTTTTTTTTTTTTTCCCCGGATAGTCTATGTATAGTCTTTTTTTTTTGTATAGTTTCTTGCCCCCGAAAGAGTTTTACATCATTTTCCACCCTTCCTTTGTTACTGTAGCTTTAAATGTCTATGTATACTGTAAATCATCTCTGTTTTGATTGGTTATGAAATGATGAGTAATAGTGTTAACTGCCAAGATGGTGAATGTTAAATATGCTTTGATATGTACACCTGGTTGTTTCTTATTTACTGTTTAATTAAGGGCCATTGACATCAAATACTTCAAATGATTAAATATGTGCAATAAATGGTTAATCTGTTGACTGTTAATTATAAAATAAAATCAACATGAAATACAAACATAGCAGTAAATACAAATGTGCATATCATATCATAGAATAGAATAAACTCTTTTACATAACTGGACTGCCTCTTATTATATTATATTATATTATATTATATTATATTATATTATATTATATTATATTATATTATATTATATTATAGCTTTCTATTGTTTTCCATCACAATACATTTTAAGGAATCTCTGTCATGTCCCCGCTTGAATGTGCTCATGGTTGTGGTGTCAATAATATGATGATTTCTCATCTAACTCTTCTTTGCAGCTTTGTTAAAATACCATCCCCTGGTTTCACAGACAAAGCTAAAACTTATTCCCAGACTAAAAATGCATGATCGAGCTACCATAACTGAAGGCAACTTATCAGTAATGTTTTTTTATTTTTTTCACTTTTATAAAAGTTGAACTAAGGCCTAATCCTGACTTAATCTCAGCCCCCTGTCTATGAAATATTTCAACATAAAAAAAAGAAAATCTTGTTTTCCATGAAAGATCCCCTTTTAATCATACTGTAAAAGTTTGATCAAGGAGGATTTTTGTTGTTGTTGTCGCATTTGTCTTTTTTTGGTTGCTCCTTTATTGAAAAAAGTTCAAAATAAAAAGTCCAGAAAGACAGCACCACATTTCATTTCCGTTTCGTTCCACACATCTGCAGAATCCAGCCGGGATGTGATCAGGACATCTGTGACAACACTAATCCCCTGTTATCTAAGGCCCAGATCCACTCACTCGCTTATGGCCTTTGACAGTAAGTCTTTTGTCTCATATCTCTCTGTCTAAGGGTCTTTCTCACATGCACACCCTCTGTCTTTCTCTTTCTCAAAAGCATCCCGTGAATTATACAGGAGTCAGCTCTACAGAGATAAAATATGACAGTTAGCCCCATCCATCCCACTCACTTGACTACAACGGATTTATACAGGTCACTTATGAATGCATTAGATAGCAACAGTCAAATATCTTGTGCTTGGTGCTGTAAACAGATGACTATTCCAGGGTTTAAATAGTGACACTACCAACTAAACTACATTTCAAAACAGCATGGGAGTAGTTTTTCAAGTAAAAAGTTCAATGACTCTCTCATATTAAGCACTACAGGGAGTTTGATTAATTTTAGAGGATATTCATTCAGATTCAAAACAGAGGATTTTACATCCTCTAATTCGTACTGATATACAAAATAATATGCTGCAACAATTTAATGAATTCAATATCTTGGTAGGGTAATAAAACAGATACTACCACTACTACTAATACAGTTTAATAATAAATGGACATATCAATGTTGACATTTCTACAAGTAATAGTAGTTCTAGCAAACAATTCCTGCAGCCCTGATATTTGATTTCTGTATCAAAGTCATGAGAGGAACTTAATAAACATATCTGGCCAAGAAAAGCAAAGACAACAAAAGAAACAAAAGCAAAACAAACTCATTACATTCTAATGAGATTCCAAAAATGTCCTGTGAAGAGAGCAAACGAAGCAAATTGCACGGGGGTGCCGACTATCTCGACTGAGCGGAACGCAATTATTTCACTGCACTTTTCTCATGTGCAATCAACAATGGAGGTTCCACTTGTACGATCTGGCCTTCATTTACAGACTTCTGTCGGTTCTTTGTTTTATAAATCTTTTGGACAAGGACCGGATCTCCAAGCCAGAATAGAGCTCAGAGAGGAAATCAATGTTTGACAGCTGGAGCTGCAGGCACAGAGCCAGAAACAGGAGGCTTCCTTCTCTACGTTTCACACATGGCCACATAACATCACTAAGCAGCACGTACACGCCTGGAGCACAGACGCCACTCTCACAGCTTCTGGTCTCTCACCACCACAGCCCTGGATTTGCTCAGGGGATGACTGGGTACTGTCAAACCCAAACACAGCACAGCAAAGCTGTCGGTATCATGTGTGGTGCGGTGCTGTGCAAGAGCAACGTTAATAAATCATCACAGTGTACACCATAACACAGCGGTGTGCCGTTGGGGCACTCACTGCACCATAAGAACAGTCAAGACAACAACACAATAAAGACTGTTTGTAGAAAGGAAATAGAAATGAATTAGAAAGAATTTGGGGGAGTGTGGGGTCAGATTTAAAAAAAAATGATTTCATCAAGAAATCTCTGATGCTCACCAAGGCTGAATGCATTTGATTAAAAAATACAGTAAAAACAAAAATATTGTGAAATATTGTTACAATTTAAAATAAAGATTATTTATTTGGAAGCTGGATTTTTAGTACTTCAGTCTTCTAATATGCTAATTTTCTGCTCAAGAAAATTATTATTCATGTTATTATATATTATTAATGTTTGTGGATATTTTTGGGGAAACTTTTTTCATATTCTTTTCATAAATAGAAAATTCAAAAGAATAGTATTGGTAACTTTATGTTACGGTGACGTAGTTAGTTACACATTACTACATTTATGTACTAATAACAGTAAACTATATATACTTACTGTATTTCAAGTAACTAACGCTAGACTAAAGGCTAACACTAACTGTATTATCTATAGTAATTACATACTAAGCACAATGCAACTACGTCACAGTAAAGTGTAACCACAGTATTTACTTAAAATAGTCTTTACTGTAACACCTTTAATGAAATTAATGCATCCTTGCTGAATAAAAGTGTTTATTTCTTTCTTTCTTTCTTTCAAAAAATAAATAAATAAATAAAATAAAGGGATATTTCACACAAACAAATTGATTTTAACATCATTAACTCCCCTCAAAAGAAGATATTTTGAAGAATATGGGTAATAAAACAGTTTATGGGCTGTAACAGTTTAAAAATATACAATTCAAATCAATGGGGAACATCAAATGTTTGTCAATCAACATTCTTCAAAATATCTTCCTTTTGTTTTCAGCAGAAGAAAGAAATGCATACAGGTTTGGAACAACTTGAGGGTTAGTAAATGATGACTGATGATGACAAAATGTTCATTTTTGGGTGAATCCTTTTGGGTGTATCCTTTTAAACTAAAATATATGTAGATCTGCCATAAAACGAAAAGTGCTTCCCCTGATAGAAAGCCACGCATGGAATTGTGAATAGCCAGCCAACAATTGTGCTAGATGTAATTTCAAAAGTCTTAGTTTGTACAGTTACGCAACAAAGCTCCAGGATTTCCAGCCATGAATTATTTAACAGATCTGGCATATTAAACAATACATATCAGGGTGAGCTTGTTGTGTTTATAATTTTATGGTACATTTAATGCTTTTTTCAATGGCACACCAGTCAGTAGTTCTCACAGGGCAAGTGTGCTGGCTGATAAACCACGAGCACACATTAACATAATGCTCTGTCTCTATTGCAATAATGGCAGATTATAGCCGTCATCATGGGCACAGACTGATAAAGGATAAAAAAAAACACTGAGTGTCTACCTACCCCCATATTACAATCCAAATTCAACCTCATATCTCATACTGTGGATGTATGCGATCATACAAAATGATAAAACTGCAAGCAAACAATGATGTACTGCATATAGCAGCATTTAGACCAGAATTATTAGAATTTATGTGGATTACAGACATGCTTTTATTGATCAGATAAATAAATAAATAGAGTAACCCTATCTGTGTTGTAAAAGTAATCACAAACATACTGTAGGACTGGCCAGTAGCCTAATAAAATACAAAGAGGAAAATATAAAGGAAATTAAAAAACTACTGTTGGCCGTTGAGGATAATAATCTTATATTATTTGATGGCTGAACTTAATAAAGTTCAGCTCTCTTGGCCGAAGTGAGGGTATTAAATACGGTTTGATCTGTTCACACAGTTCTAAAGGGCTCGTTCTGACATTTACCTCCCTTAAACTCAATGAAAGCTTTTCCAATCACTCGAGACCTGAACTCAGTCAGAATGACGTGAACTAGAGGAAGTGAACATCCTGCTCAAGGAGCCGAGCGGACACTTCCTGTGTGTATTCGCTCATGACTGCTGGATACAGGGTCATGTCTAGCTAACGACTGGAGAATATAGAGGTGACGCAAAGGTTCAGGAAGCTTTGATAAAGTCAGCTATAGAGGTTTGAACTCTCACAATGGAATTGCTCCCGAGATATGTCTGGGGAGATCTACACATCTTGCTTACTGAGAAATTGTCAAGCTTGTGCTCAGGCAAGACATATTATGCTGAAACAGCACCTGTGTGACACTAGACAGCTGCAAGCTTATAACAGCTTGCGTGATCGTACATGCAATGGATAGTGTTGTTCAAATAAATGTCATATTTGAAACCCTAAAATGGTTCAGAGGGTTTCTATGTTGATCCCTAAGGTTCTTGACTCAATTTTAAAGAACCCTTTGTACCCAAAAGGTTCTTTTAAAGGAGAAATATTTTAAAAGCTTGTGTAATAATGTCATGTTTAATGGGTTATTTAAAAATCTATAGTCATAAAGTATGTTTCCGAGTTGTTTAACTTATAAAATTGTATTAAAAAAAAAAAGAATTAAAACAAACAAAAAAATCCATCATGATCATTTCATGGATTTAGTTTTAATTCATTTCGCTTGTAATTTTAATTCAATTTTATGAATTAAACAACTTGTAAAGTAAACATACTAAGGGACTATATATATAACCCTATATAACGTTTTATAGAACCTTTTCCCATAAGAGAGAAGATTCATAAAAATAGAAAAGAAAATGGAAAATGATGGAATATTGTTGCTTTAACTTAAAAAGTATGTAACCTGGTTGCCTTAAAATTTTAAGTTGATCAAATGGAAAAAGTGAGTTAATACAATGAAGGAGATTAATTTAATCATCAGAAACTCAGAATAATAAGTTATCTGAACTAAATCAATTATTTAAGTTGATTTGACAAAAGAAAAAAAATGTTGTGATAACAAATATTTTATTTAATTTTTTTTACAGTGTATTTACATAACCTATTTTTTCTGCAAGATGATGGAAAGTAGATTTCTTTCTGCTATATTGAATATGTGGGGTAGTGATCTTTAATCATACGATCAGCTGCATTATTGTGTGAAGTGTATGATATTTTGTACCATTTCTCATTTGAACAGTGCACACTTACTAGTGTCTCATAATGTATTTAGAATAGAATAGAATAGAATAGAATGTATTTGCATGTCGGAGGTTGTCCACTTACAGTGACACCAGCCTAAATGGCAGCACCAGTGCAGTTTGAAACACTTTCCGTGGCTGTGTGTCGCACAAATGGACAGTCCATCACAGGGGAGAAAGTCTGGTCTGCCTGCACAGCTTTTGGCCAGAGCTTGAGCTTCATCTAACTTATCGCTCTTCAAAACCTTCTGCGCTCCGGTGTAAGCCATGGTTACTGTAAGAAATGAGACATGCAATGAATATACACTGTCAAACGCCTACAGATTTAAGAGACATTACAAATAGGAAGGACTGCTTGAGGAAGGAAATGTATTTAGGTCAGACTTTACGGTATATGGCACGTTTATTAATTATTGATTGTATTATATATTATCATCCAATACACAGGCTACTATAATTTGTGTTACGGTATTAAAAACAAATGATAAACAGTTGAGTGTTAGTCTCAAATAACACGAACTATAAAAGTATTTGGAGTTTGGATTTGCTTACCTCAGTCACTTACAGCTGCTGATGATATCCTACCATCACACAACAACAGCATTAAGATCGCTGTAGCCGTACTGAATATGAAGAATGACATTTTTCCATATTAAACTGGACTGGCTTTCGATGAGGATAATCCTTCATAGATTTCCATAAAATGATCAACTGAGTTAAAATAAAAATGTATCTGCCAGATCGGTACTGATGAACAACCATGCATGTAAAAGGTCCTGGAGCGCTCGCAATTTAAGGAGCGAGAGAGAGAAAAGCGCAGATTAAAACTTATGTTTCACATGAGCTCCTAGTGTTGCAGTTGCAGTCGCAGTGGACGATGCTGCGGGACTGACTGAGTGCTAATGGCACACCGACGGGAAATATTATACTCATGCACACACACACACACACACAGCTGCTGTGACAACACTTGACCAGAGGACGGCGCTCAAAGACACTACAAAGGTTTTCTCAATCATGATTTTACTGTAGCCTCCTACATAAGGGAAATGATTTCATTTAAGGTGTCATTGTTAGAGTGTAATTATATATTTAAGTACTGAGTAATAATAATTAACTATTGTACTTACTCTAGGGTCAGGGTAGGATTAGGATTTGGTTGAGGTTTAGTTGCATGTATTAGCTATGCAGTTTACTGTTATTACTATGGTAGCCTACATGTAACATAATAACAAGCACACTGTAAAATAAAGTGTTACCGGAAAGACTTTAGAAAGATTTTCTAGAAATGTTTTATTATTGTTATTATTAATAATTGTACTTTGACTAACAATCTTATATTATTACAGTGGGGGGAAAGCAAAATATGAAAAACAAAAAAGAAAAAGTATGAAAAAGACATTGACTATTTGACGAATCTCTATAAAATACATTTTGAATTAAAAATTCAAATTTGAGTTTTCAATGAACATTTAAAAGATTTATTAATCTGAGTACTAATGCAAACTTCTGATCTCTCTCTCTCTCTCTCTCTCTCTCTCTCTCTCTCTCTCTCTATATATATATATATATATGTGTGTGTGTGTGTGTGTGTGTTACATGTTGTGTTTTCATATTTTATGAGGACTTTTCATAGACATAATGATTTTTATACTTTAAAAACTTTATATTCATACTACCCCCTTACACTAACCCTGCCCCTAAAGATACCCATCAATGAAAACTTTCTGTATTTTTTTTTATTTTCAAAAAACATCACTTAGTATGAATTGTAGCCTACGCTGTTTTCCTCATGGCTACCAAAATATGTTCCCACAAGGACAAAACATTTTAGATATTGGACATATTTGTGGCACGCACACACACAGTGATTAGAAGCAATAGCAATTAACTTATCCCTTGCAGCAAAGCACAAATCACATCATACACACTACACCTAACAGGTCAACTATTCCACATATCAAGAGCCAAATTAATTAAGTTTTCCTTAAACTGAATGCACAGCCATAAATTGCCCTAATGAAAACACCCATACAGGTAATTCATAATATATAGACTAATGATCAAAAGTGTTTGTTTTTTAGCAAGGATGCATTGAATTGATCAAAAGTTACAGATATTTTTTTTCATCAAATAATCCTAAAAAAAATTTATCATGGTTCCACAAAAATATTAAGCCATTTTCAGCATTGATAAGAAATGTTTCTTGAGCACCAAATCTGCATATTATAATGATTTCTGAACGATCATGTGACACTAAGGAGTAATGGCACCAATGGGCATGAGACCAGTGCTGTGCAAAAAATGAACCAAGGTAATAAACCACATTACTAACAGGGATTTACAACTACTGTCCTTTCTGACAAATCTATGTCTGCTACCAAGAATGCAAAAATACACAGACAGAGACCATTAAAACCTATTCGGGGATAAATAATAATCCGATACGACAGATAAGAGTTGAGAAAGTAGATTTCTTATTAATAACCGGCTTTATGTATAGTTTTAAACTTAACATATAGCATGTTGTTCATGCTGCTCTTACAGATGGCTGTGCATTGTTTTGATATGCTCTCTCCATTTTTGGATAGGAGGACTGCCACAAGCTACAAGTTTTTTCAGAAGAGGACTGGGCTCTAAATGAGACACATCAGGATGGGCTTGGTGGTAATACTCCAACCTCTCCAGGACTCTTTCCAGGCCCACCATGCTGGCGTAAAACATGGGCCCACCTCGGTGCCTTGGAAAGCCATACCCGAACTGATAGATGACATCAATATCCTCCGGTCGGGCAGCTATGCCATCCTCCAGAATACGAAAGCCCTCGTTGGCCAAGGCGAAAAGGCATCGCTCGATAATTTCCTGATCAGTAACATTGCGCGGTTTAATGCCGTACCTGCTCCTGTACGTCTCAAGGAGGTTCTGGATCAGTGGGTCAGGTTTTGCGTTTGTGCCCCCAGGTTTGTCGTACATGTACCAGCCGCGACCGGTCTTCTGGCCAAACCTGCCTTGCTCACAGACCATGTCTGGAATGGGACAGTACTTACGCCCTTGGCGCCTACGTGGGGGATTTTTCGGGTCGACATCAGGCCCGGTCAACCCAGATTCCTTCCGGACTCTCCAACCAACATCCAGACCTGCAAGGTCAGACATCCTAAAGACACCCATTGTGAAACCAAAGTCCTCCAGCACCTTGTCGATTTGTTCAGGTGTGGCCCCCTCCTCCAGCATGAAGGTGGCTTGATCAGAGTAAGGCTTTAGCATACGGTTTCCAACAAAACCAGAGCAGTTTCCAACAGCAACACTCAGCTTTCCCATCCTCTTCCCGAGACTCATCGCTGTAGCGATGGTTTCACTTGAGGAGCGAGGCCCACAGACAACTTCCAAGAGCTTCATGACATGTGCCGGCGAGAAGAAGTGCATCCCAATCACCAGCTGCGGTCTATCCGTCACACCGGCCAGCGCATCCACATCCAGACCAGAGGTGTTGGAGCAGAGTAGAGTGGTTGGTCTACACACCTTAGACAATTCTTGGAAAACACGCTTCTTAAGTGCCATGTCTTCAAAGACTGCTTCAATAACAAGGTCCACATCCTTCAGGTCCTGTAAGCTGAGGGTGAATTTGAGGAGATTGTGAGAGGCACTCACTCCCCGTCTTTTGGCATCTCTCTCTAGCATGCCAATCACCATCTGCCTGCCAGTCTCCATGAGTTTCTTGTCTGACTCTACAGTAATGACAGAAATTCCCACACGTGCCAGAGACACAGCAATGCCCCTGCCCATTGTGCCCAGACCTAAAAGGGTGACAAATGAATAGTCAACAGAGTAAAACAAAACCACCAATTTAAAACAACATAGGTACGGTTAGACATAGGCACTTGTTAATTAGCAGATGGTGAAACTGATCAGAGCACAAAACTGAGCCATATACTGCCAGCATTCTTCCTCTATGATCACAGAAGAATCTCTGCTTTTCTCAAACGTAAAGCAAACGGATGTTTCAACACTTCTGAAAAACAACATAGGCACACTAACAACCTATAAGTGTGCATAAAGCTGTCCTAGATAAGAATATTGAACATCATTTTTTTAAATGTAGTTTTACAATTTCAAATGTATGTTTTAAGTCCCTTGGATTTAATAAATCTAAATGTAAGAAAAAACTTTTTTTTTTTTCCTTTGGAATATTAAATGATACAGAACATTTTCAATTCTGTCATCATTTATTCATAATTTCATCGTTCCAAATCTGTACTTTTTTCTTTTGTGGAAGGTAAAATATATTTAGAAAAATACCTTTTTTTTGTCCATTCAATGAAAGTCAATGGGGTCGAGTGTTGTGCTTCTCTATTTCAAATTATCTTCTTTTGTGTTACACAGAAGAAGAAAAGTCATATGTTTGGAACATCATGAAGGTGAGTAAAGTGTATTCCATTATAGTTGTTGTTTAATTAGCTTTTATGTTTTTATTATGATTTCAGTTATTTTAGTACATTTTAGTGAATGTGTTTTGTAAATGTGTTATATGCTTTTTTATGTTACTTTTTTTTACCAAACTTATTAAGATTTAGTTTTTATTTATTTCCAAAAATGTATTACTAATTCATTTAGTTGCCAAGGCAACATTTCTAATTTTTGTTTAGTTTCAAACAGCTCAAACAGTAGAGCACGACTCTAGCAATGCCAAGGTCATAAGTTTGATTCCTATGGAAAAAGCAAAAACTCTAAATATGCATCTTGAATGCAATGCAAACCTCTTTGGATAAAAGTGTCTGCCAAATGCCAAAATTATTATTTATTTTTATTCAATTCACAAAAATGTTTAATAGTTTTAGTTAACCAAATAACCCTGCTACCATCCCTAGGTCTTGTTCAAGCACCTAAAGACATTCTCTTTTGGTACCTATAACGGCTGCACTCCGGATCTCTCTGGGTTTGGTGTTATTCCATTGCGCTCCACTAGGTAGAGTCCATTTCCCAGCAGTCCTCTCGGCAAAGAAGCAGTACTGAAGAGCCCGGGCCTGGCCAGAGTTGAAGAGAGTGGCCATCAGTTCACTCTCCCGCTTTATTCCCTGGCTGTAAGGCAGTGTAGCAGCTGCCCGCACGGCCTGAACACAAGCCAAAGGTGCCATCACTCCCCGAGCCTTCTTCTGAATCTGCAAAGTGACCGCTTCCAATAGGACATCCAGATCTGGAGGGCAGGGCACGGTCAGCGCACTCAGTCTTCGGGAAGACAGTGGTTTGTCTGTGAAATATACAATGGATATGATATCAAAATATAACCTAATATGATAAACAAAGGCAATACTAAGTGGATAGTATTGAACCTCGTGTAGTACTTATGGTCATTTTATAACAAACATGGCAATTACTCCGAATCAGTAGAAATAGAATGGTCAAGAAGAAATTCAAAAATACTTATGTTAATCAGTTTCAAAAAGTATGTTGGATTTCTGAAAGTGTGTAATCGTATAGCAACCAAAATACATAAACACTTGGCCTGACTTGAGTCAGATTTCATGTTTTATGTGGACTTTACACAGACATAATGATTTTTATATGTACAGACTGTATATTCTATCCAGGGCCGGATTAACCATTAGGGCAACTGGCCACTTGCCCAGGGGCCCATGACATCTAAGGGGTCCTGGGCACCGTCAAATATATTATGTTAGATCACGTTATAAACGCAGTCCTCACTTTCCTAATTATATGCAGATTTTTGCAACCCGTTTGATCAAAATATAATGTTAAATCACATCAAAAACAGTGTCTGTAGCCTCCTGCGCAGTGAGCATGTCGACACGACTCGCATGACGCTCTGAAATTTGAAATCGGCGGGAAGATTGGGAAGCAGTTGCCTACGGTTGCCTAGCATAAAGGTCTCGACTGTTTAGCGTGATATTGATATCATTCTGTTTGTGCTGCATGATTTATAGAAAAGTGTGCACTTTGCTCACGCGATCAGCATGGTGATCTGGTGTTTTCTCCAAAATGAAAGCTCAAGGGTCTTCTTTGTAATTTACTGTGTAATTTAAATTTAAATTTGTAGTTTTGTACATTTTCAAAAAACATCATTTAGTATGATTTATAAGCTGTTTTCCACTAAAGGGATGTCAGAAAGTGAGCACCTGCCAAAATGTCTTAACTTTTCTCTATTTTTCCTCACTCAAACCAGTCCGAAAGGAAGACAGACACACATACACACACATAACACAACAGTCCATCAAAACTGCAATTTTAGTGTTTTGACTTCCTGCCTCACTAAAAGGATTACGCAGGGCGGTACCTGATTCAATATAGCTTTTAACTGCATTAGATTCATCTTTCTCTCTGGAATGTGGGTCACTCTGATGAGCCTTAAAGGGCCAGCAGGACCAGAAACCAACAGTTTTGTCTGTTTTCTGCTCTGTCCTGTTTTGAGCAATTAATAAAAAGTATATTGACAGGAATTAGCATTTCAAAACAGTGGCGTTCCTTTCAAGTAACACATTGAAGCATGAGTGTCCAGTTTGATGTCTAGTGTACTGTGCTACTGTATAGTGGACACTACAGATGTTGCTGTGGTTAATCTGTGGTGCTGTGGGAAGGACTTGAATCACTAATGCTGTGATTTGTTGTAAGTAGGGCTGGGTCAGATCCTGATAGGTGCATGTGGCAGATGTTTCAGCGACTGGAAAACAAGATAAATCTCTGTAGCTATGAGTGTCAAGAGAAAGAATCTACAAAAAAGTGTTGTAATCTACTAAACGAACTAGCTGCAAGATTAATCACACCATTTCAACATTTGATTTTAGGCAACAACAAACAAAAGACATTAATGATGAGTAAATTTACTATTCATCCCATGAAGCACTGTGAAAGATGTTACTGAAGCAAAATCAATGATACAATATAAAACGATTGACTTACAGTATAGTAATTATGAAGTAAGAATGCACTCATAAAATATTCATATATGCAGCCATTAAAAAGTGTGGAGTCAGTAAGGCTGCATTTATTTGATCAATAACATTAATAACTGTACTATTGTGAAACTTGTTTCTGTTTTAATATATTTACATGATACTGCAGAAATCATACTAATACATTGAATTGCTATTCAAGAAACACTTACTAATAATGGTGAAAAATGTTT